TGCCTTTTGGATTTATTTCCATAGAAAGTATAGATAACATGATTCAAATGTGCATTGTGCACCAAAAGTATTCTCTAATAGCACTTAAGTCACTACTAATCAATGAAGTAATTTGAAAACAGATCAACTTGGTTTATGTAGCAATGTACTGTGGATGAATAAAATTGCAACATGACACTGAAAATACTCTGAGGGTTAACAGAGTGAGCTACTTTATAGAATATTTTTTAATCAGTTATGGTAAGGTTTGTTTTGCCCCAGAATGTCCTATGTGCACTTATTTTAAAAAATTAATGTGCATTGTTGGGTGAAATGTTCTAAAAATGTCAATTTTATTAAGTTGATTGGTAATGTTTAAGTCATATATTTTTACTGGTTTTCTCTATATCTACAATTTCTGGGAGATCAGTTTTGATGTCTCCAACTATAATTGTGGATTTGTCTATATTTCCTAACTTTATAAGTTTTGAAGCTCTCATGTTAGGTTGGAACACATCATGCCTTTAGAATGATATGTTTGGTTTTTTTTTAATTCTCACCTGAGAACAGTTTTTTCATTGATTTGTGGGAGGGAAGGAGGGTGGGAGGGAGGGAGGGAGAAAGAAAGAGAGTGAGTGAGAGAGAGAAAGAGAGGCATCAATTGGTTGCCTGCTACTTGTGCCTGACCAGGATGGAACCTGCAACCTAGGTATGTGCCCTGACCAGGAATCAAACCCTCCACCTTTTGTGTGCAGGATGATGCTCCAACCAACCAAGCCACACTGGCCAGGAGTAGAATGATATGGTTTTTTAAAAAATAATTTTATGTACTTATCTTTAGAAAGGAAGGGAAGGAAACAGGGAGAGAAATATCATTGTATGGTTGCTTCTCATGCATCCCTTGCTGGGAACTGGCCCCTGCTAGGAACTGTCTGCAACCCAGGCATGTGGCCTGGACTGGGAATCAAACCTCGATCTTTTGGTTCGCAGGCCGGTGCTCAATCCACTGAGCTACACCAGCCAAGGCTAGAATGATACGTTTTTGATGACTTTTTTTTTTTTTATCATTATGTACTGTTTCTCCTTGTCTCTTGTATTATCTTTATTCTGAAATCTATTTTGTCTCACATTAATATACACACTCCAGCTTTCTTTTGATTAGTTTTCTGTGATATGTCTTTTCCCACCTTTTTATTCATCTTTCTATATTGTTATATTTAAAGTGGTTTATTTGTAGACAACATATAAGTCTTTTTTAAAAAATTCCAATTTGATAATCTCTTTTTTTAATTGCTGTGTTTAGATGATTTACATTTAGTGTGATTATTGATATGGTTGTATTTAAACCTATTATTATTTGCTTTTCGATTTTTCTTTTTTCTATTCTTTCCTGTCTTCTTTTGAATTGCTTGAATATTTCTTAATATTACATTTCAATGTATATATATTTGGATACAGCTCTATTTTGTAGTTGCTCTGTGGCTTACAATATACATATCTAAACTTTCACAGTGTAACGAGTGGTAATATTACATCGTTTCAAGTAAAATGTAGATACCTTACTGCCATATGCTCTGTCCCTGCTCTACCACCGACCTTTATGACCTAGTTGGTATAATATTATATTTATTATTTTTAAAACTTTTGTAAGTTTATTTAAGCCAAACTGATCACATGTGCCAGGGAGCAAGATCTCAACTAATCTCAAATGCTCCAGAGACCAGCAGTTTTGTAACTTCTTTTATGCTTTTGAAAATAATGAGGGAATGTACATGGATGTGGGAGAAAGCAAGGTGGGATTGGATTACAGGATCGTTAACAAGATTACATACTCTCTTGAGGGTTATACTTAAGGATATTACTGAAGGATAATACTGAAGGATATTACTTAAGGCATTTCAAAGGCATGTTAACTTAGATGCACAAGAACAATGGACAGTGCTGGCTTACAACCTTTCACTGAAGAAGTTGTAGGCCTAGGTTGTGACTCTCCACCATGACCTGCCTGATGAGGAATTTATGACCAGATCACCTTTTGAGGTTGCCTTCCATAGAACCCATTTTTTTTCATCCACACTTACCTGCTTTGATCATACATTGGTGTGAAGGATGCATTGGTAAGCAATCTTTTGGTCCAATAGCAAGTTCTCACAGAGCTAGGAAGGCTCATTCCTAGGATATGGCATTATTGACCTTGTGTTGTTGACTATTGAGGATGGGGCAATATTATAACCATGGCATCTGAGTTGAGGCTGATTTTTTTCCAAAAGGGAAGACCATGTAAATAAAAGGCAGTTGGGTCTTTTGCCCTTCATTACAAGAAAACATTGAATCATTTCTAGGAACTATCATGATCTGAATTTTGCCTTCTGTCTCATTTTTCTGTGTTTGGCTTCTAGTATAACATTTACATAAGCCATGAAAAGAGTATTAAAAGTTATACATGTCCAGTAATCATAGACTGTTGGACAGTATAGAAAAACCCAAAGAACAAGTCATATTATTATGACTAATATCACTAAAGAAAATAAAATAAATGGATTTTGAGTTCAATATCAATCTATCAGTATCCAGGTCTTGTGGATGTCTTAGGATAGCTGTTTACCTCTGGTAGCAGCAGGTTCTTGTCCTCAAGGAGTCTTGGATGTTCGTAGACAATGCTAGATGTCCATTTGAGGTTAGGAGCTTGATAAGTTTCCTTCCAATGAGGTTGGAGAGTGTCTTTTATTTGATATCCTTTCCAATAAACAAAATCTCCAAGTGGCAGTTAAATAATCTTTATGTGTGTGTTGTGCTGGAGGTATAAGGTTTGAGCCCTCCATACTGATTGATTGCTTGAGACAGCCTTGCAGAGGTGGGCAGGGATGTGTTGGTGTCACTGTCCCCTTTGAGGACAGCATAAGTGATGTTTAAAATCTTTGTCTCCTGGGAGCTCTCTGTGAAAGCAAGTGGTTACCACCTTGGCATTTTCACAAAGTGACTGTCGAACCTTGGCAGTAGTGTAAGATGTTTCTTTTCAATAATGGCAGCTCATCAGTTCCTTCAAATAAGGCCAGCTTAAATGTGTTACGATGGTACCAGAGAGCCAGGAAGAATCAAGTGGCCACCTTGAGTTTTCTATAGCCCTGACTTACTTGTTTAATTTACAACCATTGTTTACCTACACAATATACCCTAGACTATTTTTATCATTTATTTTACAATGCTTTGTATGCAATTGAAAGTCTTCTGATGTGTTTCATGGGCCCTTTCGAAACACTGCAAAGTTATTCCTGCATATATTGAGATTCTTTATCCTTAAAACCTCAATTTCTAATGAAAACTGAGAAGCAATTAGCATTCTTTAATTTAGCAATTTTATGAAGACATTTTATGACTTGTAGAAACATTTCATAGACAGAAAAGCCAATTATTAACATGGACTTATTTTTATTAAACCCAGTATAAAAAATGCATGTTTGTTTTACTTAAACTAGCAAACTTAAGCTAGGTTTTATTTACTAAGGATTAATTTTAGATCATGTAAACTTGAAAAGCATGATTTAATTTTTCTTTTTCTAACAACTTTAGAATATTCAGTCCTTAAGAAGAACTTGCCTTTAAATTGATTTTAACAGTACCATCTGGAGGTAGAAAATTTTCTAACATTTACAACATACACACATAGACAACACAGACACAAACAGAATAGTGGGATCCAAATTTTGTTTCGGAGGCATTTGCAATTTATATATATCCTGGACAAGTCAAGTTGAAATAAGGACAGCCATTTTTAATATCCCAAAGAATTGGGTTGACACCTAAAGGACACCATAGGTTGACCCATTTATCTAAATCTTTTTTTTTGAAGCTTTGTGAGACCAATGAAATATGCTTTCCATTCTTCCTGCCTAATTTTATAGATGGCTTTTTCTATGTGCATGTAAAAGATTAATTTAGAAGTATCAGTGGATCCTCATCTTGGTCATCTTAGTATTAACACTAATGGAAGACCGACTCTCATGCGGCTTATTGGCCTCAGAGTTTCTCATGTTATTTATGAGATCTGTAGCGACAGAGCAAACTTCTAGGGAAAACCAGCCCTTATGTCCATGTTTCTAGGTGACCCAGTGTGGTGAATATCCTTATAGAACTGCTTCATACCCCAGAGGAAATTTTTTTCAGGTAATGCCACAACATTTTTAGTCACCTAAGAATACTTGAGCAGGGGCCAAGGAGAGTATACTGGACTCTTCCTGAACTCGGATAATTTCCAAAACCCAGAACCCTCCTCTCTCAGGCCCCTCTCTGAAGGTGAACCTGTTCTAGGATGCTCTGCCCTTCTCTTTGGGTTTCCTACCACTGGCTTCTCCTGTATCAGCTGTGCTGCCTACAGGATGACTCCTGACGGCATCTATCTCTAACACTCTGGATTTGGGGATTTGAGCAAATCCCCAAAATCACCCCATTGGCTGTTTGGGTTGGGGAAGTAAGTGTCCTTTCTCTTTCAGAGTTAAAAAAAGTATTGTTTGGACTCTTAGTAAGTAATCCCATTAAAAAGCCAAAATTAAATGCAACCCATTTTTTTTCTTCTTTTTCCTTTCCCTGGGTGATCCCAACACTTATCCACCCCAAGGACTTTCTAAGAACAGCTCAAGTAAAGTCATGTATGAGTACTTAAAGCAAGGAGATCCCAAATACAAAAAAAAACCCTCATCCCAGTTCACCTGATATGAAGTAGTGAGCTGGTCGGGCACAGTGCGCCCTTGCTTTTACGTAGCACTGGGTGCGGGTTCACAGGGTGATTTTGGGTGGACTTCTTTGGAATTGTGCTGACTATACTGAGTAAATGTCAATAGAAGAAATGTCCAAACCTGTGAGGAATTTTTATGTGTTTATATGAGTCAAACTGACAATAAATGCCAGGGAACAGAATCTCCAGTTCTCCCCCATATTATATATGAGTCTGTTATGCTTGAATGAAATCTGTTGTTCTGTATCAAAGAAGTGCAAGATTCTTTTTGATCTTTTTCTTAACTTAGAAAGACATGGAACCCTTCATGAATCTGCATGTCATCCTTGCACAGAGGCCAAGCAAATCTTGTCTGTATGTTCCAGTTTCAGTATATATGCTGCTGAACTTAGCACTCTCTTTTTAAACTTTTAACACAGTGACACATGCACATAGCTGGAATCTAATACTAAAAAGATTATATTAAAAAAAACAGTACTTTCTCATTTCTTGCATCTTATTTTTGGAGCCAAACACATTAAATTCTCTTGTTATTTCAGGAATTAGTATTATAACACTATTTTACCATTTTTATTTAACTCTTATGTAGACACATATATAGCCTTGCTTTCCCTCACCCTATACCCTCAGTATAATTATAATTTTGAGTTAAGGATCAATATTTACATTATGACTGTGTTAATATTATTAACTGCATAGCCAAATAGTGTGTGCTTTTCTGTCCTGAAAAGCTTGACTTGTTCTTAAAGAAAATAGTTGCATCATTTATCACATGTATAATTTTTGTATGTACCTATTCTTTTTTCCAATTCCATATCAATTTGTCTAATGTGTAATACTTGTCTTACCCCACTATATCCGATCAGATATATCAAATAACCCTTTAATTCTACTTATTGTTTTCTCTCTGAAACCCTATCTTAGAGCCCTTCATCCTCCTGCTCCAGTCTGGACTGGTTACTTTTCAGGCTCCTGCTGCCTAGCATTTGAGACTGCCCTTTGCCATTTTCTATTCTAGTGTCCTTGTTTCCTAGATCCTGTGCTTTCCCCTTTCTTGATTACTTCCTCATTTCAGAGGAGTACTTCTCCAGTAGCTTCCTGAAAAAGGGTGAGGGGGAAATAGATTATCTGAGATTTTAAATATATGAAAAATGTGTTCCATTTCAGTGGTTTTCAACACTGGCTGCATATTAGAATTATATGGGAGAGCCTTAAAAGCAGAAAAAAAATCAAAGAACCTTTGGAGGCTCTGTCTCAGACCCACTCAAAGAGAATTCTGGGAGGGTTTAAGTTCATCAGGAGATTCTAACGTAAAGTTGAGAATCAGATTGCTGCAAACTTGAAATGAAGATTAGGCCAAATTCTAAGATGGCCCTAAAGATTTCCTCTCCATGATGTACACAACTTGCATAATCCTCTTCTATTGAGTGTGGGTGGTACTAGTACATACCAGGAAATATTATTCCCAGGAATAAGTTACTAATCACTTGGCTTTGAGTTAGAGTATCCGGGTTGAGTGTAGGTGAGTCCTTCAAGGGTAGGTAAAGCATCTGAGAGATGTTCCCCTGCTGGCCCTGAAGGTGAAGCAAACTGCTGTGTTGCTAGAGGAGGGGCCAAATGGCAAGGGCCTGAGGGAAAGCCATTAGGAAAGCAGAGCAGTCCTAGGCTGATAGGTAGCAAGAAAACAAGGTCTCCTGTCATAAAACCTCAAGGAACTGACTTCTGCCAACAGCTCGAGTGAGTTTGAAAGAGTACTGAGTGCAGATTTAGCTGATACCTTGATTGCAGCCTGGTAAGAACACAAGCAAAACACCCAGCTCTGTGCCCAGGCTTCTAACCCAGGTAAACTGAGATTATAAGTGGGTAACTGAGATTATGGTATTTGCTGTGCAGCAATAGAAAACTGCCTAGAATTCTGGGGAGCGGAGTTAAATCATTTTCCCTATGGATTTTACTTTATTTTTTAATATTTCATTTTTACTGCATTTTTATCTGTTACTATTTATTTCCCCCATATCCTCTTTCTACCTCCACTCACCCTGTCCCCCCACAATCACCACACTGTTGTCTATGTCCATGAGTTCTTTTTCCCCTCAATCACTCCCCCCCACCCAAATCTCTTCCTGCAGAGATGTCAGCCTGCTCTCTATGAGTCTGTCACTGTTTTTGCTCGTTAGTTCGGTTTGTTCGTTAGATTCCACATACGAGTGAAATATGTGGTGCTATATATGTGGCAATACATATGGTACTTGTCTTCTCTGTGTGGCTTATTTCACTTAGCAAAATGTTCTCCAGGTCCGTCCATGCTGTTGCAAAGGGTAAAGTTTTATTTTAATGGCCCAAGTATTCCATTGTGTAAATGTACCATAGTTGTTTTATGTACTCATCTATTGATGGACACTTGGGCTGCTTCCATATCTTGGCAATTATAAATAACACTGCAATGAACATAGGGGTGCTTATATTCTTTCAAATTAATGTTTTGGGTTTCTTCAGGTAAATTCCCAGAATTGGAATTGCTGGGTCATAAGGCAGTTGCTTTTTTAATTTTTTGAGGTATCTCAACACTGCTTTCCATAGTGACTGCAGCAAACTGCATTCCCACTAACAGAGCAAAGTGTTTCCCTCTCTCCACATCCTCTCCAGCATTTGTTGTTTGTTGATTTATTGATAATAGCCATTATGACAGGTGTAAAATGATATCTCATTGTAGTTGTAATATGCATTTCTCTGATGATTAGTGACATTCAGCATCTTTTCATGTATCTATTGGCCTTCTGTATGTCTTCTTTGGAGATGTGTCTGTTGAGGTTCTTTGCCCATTTTAAAAATTGGATTGTTTGCTGTTTTGATGTTAAGTTTTATAAGTTACTTATAAATTTTGGTTACTGACCCCTTATCAGATGTATTGGTGAATATATTCTCCTATTCCATGGGTTCTATTTGTATTTCATTGATAGTTTCTTTTGCTGGGCAAAAACTTTTATGTAGTCCCATTTGTTTGTTTCTTTTGTATTTGTTGCCTAAGGAAATAGATAAAATATTGCATGAGCAATGTCTGAGATTATACTGCCTGTATTTCTTTTTAGATTTTTATGATTTGGGGTCTAATATTTAACTCTTTAATCCATTTTGAATTTATTCTTGTATGTGGTGTAAGGAGGTTGTCGTTTCATTTTTCTGCACATATCTGTCCAGTTTTCCTAACACCATTTACTGAACAAACTATCCTTAGCCCATTGTGTATGCTTGCTTCCTCTGTCAAATATGAATTGACTATAAAGACTTGGGTTTATTTCTGGACTATCTATTCTGTTCCATTGATTTAGTGTCCATTTTTATGCCAGTACCATTGCTGTTTTGATTACTATGGCCTTGTAGTGTAGTTTGATGTTAGGTAGTGTAATTCCTCCAACTTTGTTCTTCTTTCTCAAGATTGCTGTTGCTATGAGGGGCCTTTGGTGGTTCCATATAGATTTTTGAAATATTTGTTTTAGTTCTGTGAAATATGACATTGGTATCTTGGTAGGAATTGAATGGAATCTATAGATTGCTTTGGGTAGTATGAACATTTTAATGATATTAATTCTTTCTATCCACAAACACAGTATATGCTTCCACTTATTTGTATCTTTTTCACTTTCTTTGGTCAATATTTTATAATTTTCCAAGTATAGATCTTTACATTCTTGGTTAAATTTATTCCTAAGTATTTTATTCATTTCGAAACAACTGTGAGTAGGATTATTTTCTTAACTTCCATTTCTGACAGTTCATTATTGGCATATAAAAATGCAACTGTTTTCTGGATTTTAATTTTGTATTCTGCTACTTTACTAAATTTATTTATTAGTTCTAGTAGTTTCTTGGAGGAATCTTCAGGGTTCTTTAAAAATAGTATCATGTCACCTGCAAATAAAGGGAGTTTTACTTCTTTCTTTCCAACTTGGATGCCTTTTATTCCTTCTTCCTTTCTGATTGCTGTGGCGAGGACATCCTGTACTACATTGAATAAGAGAGGTATAAGTGGGCAAACCTCTCTTGTTCCCAAACTTAAGGGGAATGCTTGTACTTTTTCCCGTTGAGTATATGCTGGCAGTGGGTTGTCATATAGTTATGTTGAGGCATATTCTGTCTACTCTCACTTTCCTGATAGTTTTTATCATAAATGGGTGCTGGATTCTATCAGATGCTTTTTCTGAAACTATTCATATGATCATGTGGTTTTTATCCTTCATTGTGTTAATGTGGTATATCATGCTTATTGATTTGCAAATGTTGCACCAACTTGCATCCCTGAAATAAATCCCACTTGCTCATGGTGTATGCTCTTCTTGATATATTTCTATATTTGGTTTGTTATAGTTTGTTGAAGATTTTGGCATCTATGTTCATCAGTGATATTGGCCCATTATTTTCTTTCTTTGTAGTGACTTTATCTGGTTTTGGAATTAAGATAATGCTGACCTCTTAAAATGAGCCTGGGAATCTTTCTTCCTCTTGAATTTTTTGGAATAGTTTGAGAAGGAAAGGTGTTCATTCTGTTGGAATATTTGGTAAAATTCACCTGTGAAGCCATCTAGTCCAGGGCTTTTGTTTGTTGGGAGCTTTTTGATTGCTGCTTCAATTTCACTAGTTGTAATCTGTCTTTAATCTCTCTTTAAAGATCTCAGATTCTCTGATTCTTCCTGATTTAGTTTTGGAAGATTGTATGTTTCTAGGATTTTATCCAATTTGTCCAGATTGTCCAATTCGTTGGCATATAGTTGTTCATATTTTCACATAATCCTTTGTATTTTTTGGTGTCGGTTGTTACTTCCTCTCTTTTATTTTTTATTTTATTTGGTTACTCTCTTTTTTTCTTGATGAAACTGGTTAAAGGTTTGTCTTGTTTATCTTTTAAAGTACCAGCTCTTGGATTCATTGATCTTTTGTGTTATTTTTTTAGACTCTATTTTGTTTATTTCTGCTCTTATCTTTATTATTTCCTTCCTTCTATAAATTTTGGACTTTGTTGTTCTTTTTCAAGTTCCTTTAAGTGTAAAGTTGGGTTGTTTACTTGAGCTTTTCTTGTTTCTTGAAGTAGGCTTGGAATGCTATGAATTTTCTTCATAAGACTGCTTTCCCATGTCTCACAGATTTTGAGTTGCTGTGTTCTCATTGTCCTATGTTTTGAGGTATCTTTTGATTTTTTTTGAACTCATTGTTAACCCATTCATTGTATAGTAACGTTATTTAGCTTCATGTCTTTGTGTATTTTTCAGTTTTTTTCTCATGTTGATTTCTGGGTTCATAGCATTATGTTCAGAAAAGATCCTTGATATGATCTCAGTCTTCTTAAATTTACTGAGACTTTTTTTGCGTTCTACCATGTGGTCTAGTCTAGAAAATGTTC